TCAACAATGGAAACAAAGAAGAACAACATTAACAACAGGAGGATGGAGGACGCTGTGATCGGAGATGTGTTTTTGTTGCATCTCGCGGGTTTCACAATAATGGACATGGAATGTCGACGTATACGTAAAGCGATTGAAAGAACGGAAAGGCGGACTAAGAATCTCCAACGACAACTGGCAGTGCTACATTTGCTACAAGTGCCTGCACTTCAGCATCCGTCCATCTATCGCTGTTCTCCATACTTGCGAAATAAGTTGACACAATGTTTACAGTATGTTTACACAGCATTTTAAATCATGGCGGGTGAGGGCGTTTTCGTACGCGTTTGGCCAATCAATGTCTACTTACCAGTTGTACCAGTTGTGCTGGTTAGACCCTGCTCCGGAGTAGGAGCTAATTTGGTTCTCGAAAAAGGCAGTCCGGTACTAAAATCGCACCCATATACTAGTATCTAAAATATAAGTACTAGTAACGTTAAATTAGATACTAGTGCGGTTTATAGATTAAATGTTAAAACGGCTTGCCATAGCCGCACACTCCTTGATGACGTTATTTCACCGCGCCTGTGCGCCTTTGCGGTAACCGGTGCAGTGTGGTTACTGGCCTGGGCTCGATGGCGGCGCCGGTTGTTGGAGGATTGACGGGGAAGTTTTTCGTTAGTGCGGCGGTGTTTGCATGGCTCGCGCACGGTAAGACGCTTATTTGCTACAATTCATCTTCCTGTCAACGATAAAAACCAATGATTAAGTCATTTTAGACACATTTTCTACAGAGCAGTGAGCTGCTCAGTCTGCCTGTTTGCGTCTGTCTTCAGCGTATCTGGCCTGTTAACGACCGTTTACAAACTTCGTAATATTTTCACACAAATGACATTTTGGGAAATGATTGCAGTGCAGTTTCTGCTCAAATCTAATAATGTAACTTGAACACCAACGTGTTCAGTGAAAAGGATCTCTGGATGAATTTTAAACCACGCTACATGAACCTTTTCATATAAACTGTAAAAAATACAAAACTTGAGCCAAACTGAAATGAGACATTAATTATAAATAGTAGGTAGTGAATAAATGAAATAATCATGACTAAAGCACATATGAAAGCACGTATTTCGGTACATTTTGAAATAAGGTATATTAAAAGTCAATAAATCCTTTATTAATATGAATATTTTAATTAAAAACGTGTCTCCACGTAGTATTCAGTAGAATTATAGTGCATTTCTTCTATTAACAGCAGCATGGTAAATTTATTTTAGTGAATAAAGTACCACATTTCAGCGATCATTTTCTTAGGGTGGGTACACAAAATCATATTTTACCCTTGCTTCTAGAAAATCCTCAGTCTTTCTGCTTTCTAACAGCTTCATGTGGCCGTAAACATTTTATTTTATTGTGACTTTAAGCACTATGCCGTTACTAAGCTGGTAAATGTGGTGTTTACATGGAATAATTGTAATGTGAGTTTACCTTATGGTATGAACTCACGAGTCTCCGCTGGGATACATCAGCAGCAGTGTTGGGCAGTTACTAGTAACTAGTTAGAGTAATAATATTACTTTTTGCAGTAGCTAGTAGTGTTGCTAAATACTAATAAGATTTCAGTAATAATATTACAGTTACTATTCATAAAACAGCTTGTTACTTTTGATGCCTCAGCCCCTACTGATTTGAAATCCAATAATTCCTAGATTTATTTTCATAATTTTCACGACACATGAAGTCACCAGTGCAGCAGGCAAGCTTGGAATATGGAAAAGCTTATATTCAGTGGATGGAAATATTACCAATACATTGATTTTGTCAGGAGAAAAAATGATCTGAACACCGATTACTTTACTTTACTCTGGCATTACACCCTCTTCCCTCTGATCCCAATAGAAATTGTATAAAATCTTTTTAGAGAACGAAACATTTTCATATGAACTTATGATTTCTTTTGATAAAATACATCATGGAATATAATTGTATATGGGTAACAGAAAAATTAGAGCTACAATTAGCTTCAAGCTACACATGACAATTAATGAGATTAATACAACACTTTTAACTAAATGTTACTATTAATCACCACTGAGTGTTTGTAATAACTTCTGACTGTGATCCAATGTGGATTTTGGTCAAATGATGAGGCAGAAATAGCCTATATTGCTAGTAACATTTTAGAAGAATTTTATGGGAAAGATGTGCAATTACAGCTTCTGTGGGGCGTGAAGGAAAAGTAATGTAACTAGTAATATAGCTAATTACTGTTGCCAGAAAGTAATAATATTACCTTTGAAAGGAGTAACTAGTAATGTGTAATATATTACATTTTTTGAGTAACTAGCCCAACACTGATCAGCAGGAAAGCAATAAAACGAGCATCTTCCATCCGAAGACTTGTGGTTGCATTTCGGAGCAAAGCAAAAAAAACATTGTTGAACAACAATATAGAATGTGCAAAAGTATTGATTGTTTATTCTACAATAAATTGGACTACAAATGATACTACAATACGAAAATACTATAAATTGATAAACTGTTCTGCGTGATGTTTAATGTCTTTGACAGCGCCTGTAGTCGCATTTAGCAACTTGTTAGCAACTGTTTTTTTTAAATAAAATAAAAAAAACACAAGTGGGGTGTGTTACATTATGAATAATCTTCATGATTTGTAGAAAAACAAACAAAATTTTTTACAGCATTTTCCTGTTGTTGTTCTTGTACTCTCCAAGAAGTGATTTATAATTGTCTGTTCATTTCATCTTCAGGTTTCCTCAGCGTGGATGCAGATAACATCTCGGTGTCAGTGGTGGAGGGAGATTCAGTGACTCTACTCACCGATGTTAAAATTAGCCAACAAGAGAGAATGAAGTGGTATATGAATGACATTCGCATTGCTCAAATCATTGACAGTCAGAGAAAGATCTGTACAGATGTTCAGTGTGATGAGAGATTCAGAGGCAGACTGCAGCTGGATCATCAGACTGGAGCTCTGACCATCATGAACATCAGAACCACAGACTCTGGACTTTATCAACTACTGATCAGCAGCAGCAGCAGCATTGAAGAGAAATTCAATGTGTCTGTCCATGGTGAGTCATTAATGAATGTTTTAAAGCAAGTTATTTGTTTAAATCATACCTTTTAATGTGTTATTTTTGACATTCAGAGCTGCTTTTTTTTAATTTAAAAGTACTTGCATCATTAGAATGATTTTACTCTTTACACAACAGAATAATTTGAAACTAATTTGTCTGTCCTTTAGTGAGCCATTAGTTTTAGATTGTTTTCTTTTAGTCAAACTTTCATCATAGCATTTCCAACCACCTTTTCTTATGTTTTTCATACTCATTGTTTTTAGTTCACCGGGTTCTAACGTGTATTCAGAGGAAATTATGTCAAAGGTTTAGATCACCCAAAAATGAAAATTCTGTCATTAATTACTCACCCTCATGTTTTTCCAATCCCGTAAGACCTTTGTTCATCTTCGGAACACAATTTAAGATATTTTTGATGAAATTCAAGAGCTCTCTGACCCTCCATAGACAGCAAGGGTACTACCACGATCAAGGCACAGAAATGTAGTAAGGACTTCAGTAAAATAATCCATGTGACATCAGGGGTTCAACAGTAATTTTACCAAGCTACGAATACTTTTTGTGCGCAAGGAAAACAAAAATAACAACTTTATTCAACAATTCGTCTCCTCCGCGTCACCCTATAGCGCCATTTTAGGGAGTATCATGATGCATGCACGTGCTTTGGATTGGATGTAAACAACGTATGTTTACGTTCCGATCAAAGCGCACGCATGCCTGTTCTGTGTCAGCAGTAATACGTGCTTACGTTGTTTATATTAAGATCAAAGTGCACGCATGCGTTGTAGGGATATGCCGGTATCAAATTTTCATTTTGCGATTAATTGCTAATGCTTTTATCACAGTATACGGTATTATCACGATATTGAAATTTAGTTTAAAAAAGTGCTGTCATAATACAGTATAACAGGTTTAATAACTTTTTTCTTATAACAAAAATAACTGAACATTTAAATGCAATAAAGCAATACAGAAAAATGTATAAAGTTAAAAAGTTTTACACAGATTAAAGTGCAAAAGAACTATAAAGACCAATAGGTATCACTTTACAATAAGACCTCATTAGTTAACCTTAGTTAATGCATTAACATTCACAATGAGCAATAGCAACATTTGCTACAGAAGTTATTAATCCTTGTTTAAAAAATACAAGTCTTAGTTCAGGTTAGCTCATTAAATAACACAGTTGCAACTTTAGATTTTAACAACGCGTTATTAAATATTGTAATTACCCAAGATTAATGAATGTTCAGAAGAATTTTTCATTGGCAGTTTATGTTAACTAATGAATTAACTAATGTTAACTAATGAAGCCCTAATGTAAAGTGTGACCGAACAATAAAGAATCAAAACACTTTCAAACAATATCTAGGGCATGTTGTAGTCCAGATTAAAATGTAAAAAAAGTTAGAAAATAAATAGCCTATTAAGTCTAAATATTAAGTATATTTAATAAGTATTTGGCGCTGTGATGAACATCATAGCAAATACACAAATCTGAATGACTGCTTAAATCATTTAAACACGATTCAGAAACAGAAAGTAGTGCAGCTGCTTTGTTTACAGGGTTTCCGGGGTAACGGCTGCATTTAAATGAATTATTATTATTATTATTATTTCTGCAGTTTAGCGCCATCTGCTGTCAGAGAGTGAAAGTGCGCTTTCATCCAGAGCGTCTCTCACATGTTCCGCCATGTGCTTCACATCCGCGCTTGTTTACATCAGAGTGCGCACGCGTCTTTCACGCAGCATACAGCGGTGTTGTGCATTTTGACCAGTTGATGGGAAAAGTATTCTTAAAATGCATTCAAAATTCGGAATAATTTGTAATATATAAATTATTCACGGTATTTAGAAGTGCCCACGATAACAATATCGTGCATATTCATTACCGTGATATATCGCATTACCGAATACCGTCACAAGTCTATTCCAAACCCGTAAGACTTTCGTCCATCTTTGGAACACAAATTAAGATATTTTTGATTAAATCGGAGAGCTCTCTGACCCTCCCATAGACAGCAATGCAACTGCAATGTTCCCAGGCCCAGAAACATAGTAAGGACATCGGTAAAACAGTCCATGTGACATCAGTGGCTTAACTTCGATTTTGCGAAGCTAGGAGAATACGTTTTGTGCGCGCAAAAAAAAAAAAAGACTTTATTCAACAATTCTTCTCCCCCGAGTTATGTC